AGACAGGAAATAAAAGACCAAATAACTGATGGAAAAAAAAGAGTTAAACATATTCTGTTAAATAAAGAGATAGATAAGAGAGGTTATCAATTGAAGAAAGAATATGGAAAAAGCCAGAGAAGGACCAGATGGAAGATCGACAAGATGGAGGGATGAAACGGGGAAGCGATGAATGAGATGGAGAGAATACAGAATGAAAAAAAGTTGCAGTCAGACACTGTAAACAGAGAGAGATAACAGACAGAGAGACCGAAAGACATTGAATGGATCGTAGATAGACTGATGGATACATACACTGTAAATAGATCAGACAGACGGGCAGGAGAGACCGGAGCCTACAGTTAAATTCCAGCCCTCAAGAACTTATTCACAGGTTGGGTGGGGTGGAAGAGGGGGAAAGAAATGAAGGAGAGAGAGGGAGGGAAACAAAACTCAATGTCTGGGGTTTCACACCGTTAATTTTAGTCATGCGCAGAGCCCCATCGCACGATTCTCTCACTCGTTCCTAGCTCCTGTCGGAACATGCTAATTACGGAAGCCGACTGACCAATGAGCAAGGTTTAAAGGGTAATTAGCATAAAAATCCTACATGCTAGTATTTTTAACTTTCTCTAATCAACAACCTCACACGTACAGCAGTTTTTCAAGATGTGGAAAAAACAGGTTGATGCAATTAAAACGAGAATTAGGAATCCGGAGGAGGAGGATGGGGAAGAGAGACAAAATGTTCTCCCCATTTGCATTTTTGTTGTTTGTCTTGTCGTCATGTTTTTTTTAAAGACTCAGAAGAAATATAAAGCAGTGGTAATGTAATTGTTTTTAGAAATAGAAGACATGTGAGCGACAGCAATGCAGTGTTTTCTGTGTTGCCTGCTATCTCGTCTTCTGTCACTGAAGACATCTTATCTTCGCCTCACCAAACTGTCGATTCTCTTGCTTTCACCCTGAAGAAAAAGGGTTTTCTTCTTATGCGGTATCGGAGTGCACTTTGTAAAGAATAATCTTTGCTGGATAAAATGGATGATTGCAGAAGTTTTGGGCTTGAGTTTTTTACGTACAAATTTGTTTTGAAGGCACATTGGAAGTGATAATCAATTGTTATGGTTATGGTTATGTGATAGAAACATGATATTAATGGAATCTGCATGATGGCATTACATTTAAATTGAATGTATTTACTTAAGAGTGTGTTCCTATAGTGTTATGATTATCTGTTAGTATAGCAGTGGAGTATTATCCAAGTTTTCAGGCTCAAGGTGGGGTACTTTGGAGTCATAAAGTTGGGAATTTTTCTCACTGATCATCCATTAGTGTAATTTTTGGAGATTGACCAGAATGTGACAATATCCCTTTCCAGGATTCTGATTCCTAATCCTAAAAGGGAACTGTGTACTAGGTGCAACAACCTAATCGACTTAATCGATTACGCAAAATTAGTTGGCCAACTAAATCCCAGTCGTCAATTCCTTGGTGACGTCATCACGTGTGTGTTTACGCGCCGTTAAGCTCCACCGTTTATTAGTTTTGTTTTATTTGTACTGGATACATTTAAAAAAATATATGTCATGTATTATTGCTACAAAAAACATTATTCGCAGTCTTAGTGTCGCCAACGTCGTTTCTAACAATGCAAAGACAAACAAATGCGTCCTATGATGATATTTTTGATCAGACGAGATCTCTCTCCCCCCGTCTGTGTGCGAGGGGGCGGCAGTTTACACACACGGCTGCTACATGCAGCAACACACTGCCGAGATGGCGGAGAGAACGCGCTCCAAGGTGTGGCTTAAACTTTAACCGTCTCTGATGTGGACAATGCTCGTTGCCAAAAGTGCAATAAGAGTTTAGCTGTAAGGGCGGTAACACGAGCTATTTGTCTAAACATTTAGCAAAAGTGATCCAGCGGAGGTGTCCCAGACGGGAGGAATGCACCCGGGTTTCGACTGTCTTTCTAGCAGCTCTGTAGCCCCGTCCACGAGTAACGTTTCTCCACGTCAGGTGTTATGCTATGCTAGCAGCAAACACACAGAGTTAACTACATTTATACTCAAACATGGGTTAATGATTAGAGGTAACAGAGTCTCCACTTTATTTTGGTTTAAAGTTTCAGCTATTCTGTTACAGTTCTGTTCATCAGATTATTT